TTTGTAATCTGTTAGCCAAATCGCCGACTCCCTATTCACCCGAAGTCACCTTCGAAATTAAGTGAGGAGCCCAGTGGCTGTGCTGGTCTGCGGCACATGGGCATAGATTGTGGATACAAGTAAAATGATATCCATGACAATTTCAATGTCGTTTCCATTTATCACAATGTTGCATATTTATCCAGTTGTGAGGACTTTTGCTTTATGTTGAAATGTAATCCATCCTGAAAGCTGTAATCTTTTATCTTCATCAGTAAGTGATTCAAGTCATCTTCATTTTCAGCAAGCAAGAATGTGTCCTCTGCATATTGCAGGTTGTTAATGAATCTCGGCCTTTTGGCTAAGATCAAGTGTAGTATCTGCTCTTATCCTTTCACCATACTTACTCAATATTTATCCTGAGAAAATCGTCTGAAATGCAGTACTATATAAAGAAGAATGCAGCATAAGAATTGGAGGAAAACTCATTAGCAACCTGCAATTTGTAGATGACACAACTTTGCTTGCTGTAAGTGAAAAAGGACTTGAAGCACTTACTGATGAAGATCAAAACTACAGTCTTCAGTATGGATTACATTTCAACATAAAGATAACAAAGATTCTTACAACTGTATTAGTAATTAACATTGTGATAAAGATAAAAATATTGATGCTGTCAATGATTTTATTTTACCTACATCCACGAGCAACATCTTTGGAAATAACATTTGAAAAATCAAACTTGTTTTGCATTGGGCAAATCTGCTGCAAAAAGCCTCATTAAAATGTTAAAAAGCAAATGTCACTTTAAAAACTAAGGTTCCCCTGACAGAGTCATGGTATTTTCAATCACCTCATATGCATGTAAAAACTGGATAATGAATAAGGGAAAACAGATAAGAACTGATGCCTTTGACTGTTGTTGAAGAATATAATATATACCATTTAATTGCCAGAAGAGGCTTTTAACCTGTCTTGGAAGAAGTATAGCCAGGATGTCCCTATTAAGTAAGGATAGCGAGATTTAGCTTCACATGTTAGGCATGTTTTCAGAACGACCTGTCCCAGGCAAAATATCATATTTGGTAAAGTCGAGGGTAAGCAAAAAAGATGAATACCCACAATTAGATGGATTGACAAAATAGCTGCAACAATGGGTTCAAACCTAGCAAGATTAAGGATGGTACAGGACTGGGTAGTGTCTCCTTCTGTGTACATAGAGTCACTATGAGGCAAAAGGAACTCAAAGTCACTTAACAAAAATACCAACAACAACATGGAGATCTGAAATGGCAAGAAACAAGAATAGCTGGTTTTGGAGAGTAATGAAGAACAAAAACAAACAGCTCTTGAGTAAAGAAGGAATTAAGGCATACCTATTATACTGGATAAAAGATGAAGACCAATCACAAATTTATCTTATGATTCTTATGTGGAAGTGAAAAGCACAATATGAGAGCTGTTTGAAAGAATGATGCTATAGGATTTGCTCAGAGTCATCACATGGAGTGAAGGCAAAGAATGAATTCCTGGTTGACCATACCATATTTTTGCTTCCTGTCCACAGATTCAAATTCCTCTTCACATTTTAACTTAATCTTCATTTCTTCAATTATGTGATGAATATGAACTTTTATTTTTCCCTTTCAATTAGAGTTTTCATATGAGCAAGATTAATTATATAGAGATATGTCAGGTATGTAAATAAACAACAAAGTCATCTTTCAGTTGACATTAGTTATGGTCATTTGACTTAAACTCAGAATCTCCAAGGAAATCCATCTCTAATTGTTGCTGTTTGATTTACCTGTGTTTTGAGAACCACATCTCTCAGGTTAGGAGTCTCTGCAGAAATAACCTTATGCCAAGAATCCCTTTAGAATCAATGGAAAACTAACTTTTCATTGCAGCTAATTGCTTGTTTATTGTCAGTGACCAATAGGTAGGGAGAATATCCCTGATGTTCATCATTTATTCCCAAGTGTTTTAAAGACTTAGACTTTTATTCTGAATTTCCCTGAAAACAAATAGCATCATGTAGCCAACCAGTTCCTATAAAATCTTAATCAGTGAACTTAAAATATGAGAACTTATTTCTAATTTGTTTATATTAAAATGTTACTATACAGTAATATATAACATTTCATTGCTTTTACACTTTATCTACTTGACTTTTCTCTTAATGCATATACTATGGGAAAGCAAAATGAGATATAATACTCTGGATAATTCTGACCTGTTCTAAATTCAAAACTACTGTTGTTTTATTAACAAATATACAGGTAAGGTTATAACAATTCTGGGATGTAGAATAAAATTTATTTCTAAGTTAGTTTAATATTTTTTTCACATTGGGGATGAGAAAATAAGTTGTCACCCAGTATTATTCTGAGACAATGCCTTCTAGAGAAAGACTTGATAACTGAAAACTAAATATATTTGTCCAAAACCCACAGTGTGTATTTTTAGTTGATTTACTATTAGGTGTTGCTAAAATAATGATGTAAAGTGTCTTTTATAATTTTACAATGTCTTTTCAAAATATTATAATTCTGAAGGAGTTTTAGTGCTAGAGACATAAAATATACGGAATAAATATATTTTATTCATTTAATCATAAGCCTCTAGTGATAAAACTCCTGGTGATGTAACTATACTACATGCAGAAAAAGAAAAAAAAATATATATATATTTTCTTTTTACACACAGGTAGATGTGTACATGGGAAAATTAGCTGTGTACATCTAATTTTCATGGGGAAATTAGATGTGTACATTTACCTATGTAGCCACTCACAAATTATTGGTGGTTATTCTGTTGTTGCAGGATTATGTATTTTATAGTATTTACTATGGTTTCCAGAAGTATTAATTTTAAAGAACAATAGAATCCAATTTATTTTCTTAGGAGCTCTGGTAGCATAGTGCCTAAGGCACTTGACTGCTAGCCATAAGGCTGGTGGTTCAAACCCACCAGCCACTCCT